TGGATCCTCCACCCTTGAATAGTGGACAGAAGCAGGCCACTTTTATTTTCCCTTGACACAAATGCACATTTGGTTATTCATGTTATACCCATTCTAAGGTAAGGCTTCCAAGGAGAAATGAACAACAGACATGGAAAGTGCCCAAGAAGCAAAAAATAAATGAATCAACAAGAAAGACTGAGTCACATGAAACATTAAAAATATTACACTTATAAAGTTATTATGCTATAAAAAAAAGACACAATCCTATAAGTAACATCCATGTATGTGTATACTCCCAGAATAAATGTTCAGTAGAACCCATTTTTGGAAAGGGATTAGTGTATAATTTATCATTAACCACAGCCACAGCCATTTTAAGAGAAATGGGAGTGGGAATGATACTCATTAGATGAACACTATTTCCCCTCAGTGAGTAGCCATTGCTGAGAATAAAATGAGACAATCTTCAGTGTCTGAAGGCGTTACAGAGGGCACTCCATGATCTAAATGAGTTCTCCGTGAGCCTAAAGCAGCTGGATTCCAGGCAGGGAAAGGCTTCCTTATTTCACCTTTACTCCACACACAGGGCAGCAGACTGGTTTTCAGATGCACTCCCTGTGAAGATGGCCTACAGATGACCTACATCTCCGAAACTCCAAGCATTCCTTGGCAGTGCAGTCACACAAAGCCTTAGCTCTTCAATGAAAGGAATAACATGTGCTTTAAGGCTCTTAAGAGCTTCAGGAGAGATGAAGCTCCTAAATCCACAGCCCATTAGGCAGACGACATGTCTGTGTGAAGTCCCTGACAGGTCTGCTTAAGAGGATTATTAATGCTCCACCCAAACAAATCCAAATGGGAGGCCGAGAGAAACCCTAAGAAACATGTCAGATATTTCTTTCGTTTTAGCATTCATTGAGGTGCTGAGTTCAAAGCTTCAAAAGCCATTTGTGGAGCTATCAGGCAGCAGTTTCAGTTTATTATAATTTATTTATTGGCACACAATTACATATACAGCTTCTTATACATGGGGCACCATTTTAAGCACTTTACAAAAAGCAATGAATTTAACTCTCAAAAACAAGCCTACTCCTTGGGTGGTTTCCTCATCCACAATTCACAGAAAGGTCACACAGCTAGTTTACACATCTAAGAAAATGCAGTGTCTCCCTCTGGGAAGCTGTCTTTGATCCTAGGGTGTTAGGCACCTGTCCCCATCATACCCCAGCACTCCGTGTTCCTGGGGCACTCACGGTATTAACACAACCATTCCTAACACCTTCCTTGCCCACACCCCAGGCCAGAGCCATCTCACCCATCCCAATGTTCCTGTGCCTTGTCAGTGTTCAACATACCTAGCTAAAATGAATCCAAAAAAACACAGGTTCCAATCTCTTATCTAAAATCCTTGGGGCCACATGCACTTTGAAATTCAGAGTATTTTGCATTTTAGGAAGTCAGTTCAGTGAGCACACACTCTATATAACCCATGGTGGGATCCTGAACAGCACCTGATACTAACACACAAATGGCCACAAGAAGTGAGTAAACAAAGCCAAATGGGGGTGAGGCTATCTTGACCTTATCTAGCCAAGGTGATCCTCCTTCCTTTAGCATTTGGAGTGAGGAGACTTCATGCTTTGTCCTCAACAAAGGCAGCTGTCATGCTGTAATAAGTTGCCACAAACTTAGTAGCTTAAATCCACACAAATATATTATCTAATAGTTACGGAGGTCAGAAGTCCAGACCCCCTCTAACGGGGTAAAATCAAGATGCTGTCAGAGCTGTGTGCCTTCTGGAGGCTCTAGGGGAGAGTGTGTGTCCTTGCCTTTTCCAACTTCTCCAGCCTATCCACATGCATTGGCTTGTGGCCCCATCCTCTAACTTCAAGAAAGCAAAGGTCAGTCAAGTCGTTTTCAACCGCATCACTCTGATTCTGGCTATCCTCCCTCCCTATCTTGTTTGTAAGACACTTAAGATTAATATTAATCCCCCCACCCAAAAAAAAGGATAATTGTGATTACTGGGCCATCCTAGATTATCTCCCCTCTCAAAAATCCTGAACTTAATTAATTACATCAGCAAAATTTCTTTGCCTTGTGAGTTAACAAATGCATGGGTTTTGAGAATTAGATAATAGATAAAAGAGGCATTACCCTACCTGCCCCAATGTCTAAGTTCTTTTTGCATCCCCATATCCCCAGCATCTACTGCAACGCCAGACATATAGTAGAAGCATAATAAATGTTTGCTGGGCTTTTATTTATATTACTTAATGTCTCCAAGCATCAGTTTCTTTACCTTTAAACAGACATTAAGGCCGGGCATGGTGGCTTACACCTATAATCCTAGCACTCTGGGAGGTGAAGGCGGGTGATTGCCTGAGCTCAGGAGTTTGAGACCAGCCTGAGCAAAAGTGAGACATCATCTCTAAACAAATAGCTAGGCATTGTGGCAGGTGCCTGTAGTCCCAGCTACTTGTGAGCCTGAAGCAAGAGGATTTGAGCTAAAGAGTTTGAGGCTGCTGTGAGCTATGATCCCATGGCACTTTACCGGGGGCAACACAGTGAGACTCTGTCTAAAAAACAATAATAAAAATAAATAAACAGAGATTTAAAATATCCATTATAAGTCTCACAAAATAAGTGAAAGTGTAGTGAAAACTACAAAGAACCCTTCAAAAATGAAGATATCTCATGAACTAGTAGCAAAAAATACATCCATTTGTGAAATAGCTAGTATATAAACAGGAAGAGAGTAGGATGCTGAGAGAATTCTGCTCAACTTGACAAGTCATGATGGAAACAAAGCCAGTTATCAGAAGATCTAAATCATGTCATCATGTAGCCTCGAGGTAATCTGGTATGGGACACCACATGATGTAACGTCCAAATTTAAGGCGGCACTATTAATATTTACTCTGGGAAAAAAGTATCATGCAGATGCTCCCAGGCAAGTACAATGCATGGCCGCCCCCAAGTGTAGCCCAGTGGTGGAGCTTGTGGTCTGGAGACTGACTGCCTAGAACCAGACCCAAGACGATTCTCACAGCTTGGTGACCTGGGGCACTTCACTTAACCGCATTCTGTCCAGGTTTTTTCATCTGTAAAATGGGAAGAGACCTATGTCATGAGGCTGAGGTGAGGGTCAGATGAGTTACTGCACACAGAGCATTAAGAATAATGTCTGGCATTGGCAAGAGCTCAGTAAAAGTTAGTGACCATACCACATCCTGGCCAGCCAAGCTCATATCTTCTAAATCCCCACAAGTTCACAGGACAGACCTTCCTGCATTGCCCCCCCCCCCCTCAGCCGGCAGATAAAGGGTGTGCACAGCCCAGCACCTGCAAATGAACCCTACGAAGGGTGGCCATCTTTCCTTCAGAAGCTGCTCCCTCACACTCCCATTTCTGCCTTCCCGTCCTGGTTTCTGAGCTCACTGTGGAACACAAAGCTGCGGTGCCAGTCTGGGATCCTGCAAAGCCTTGTCAGGAAATACAGCAAAATCCTCTGTTGTCAGAACAGGAGACAGAATGACTGGAAGATTAACTCCCCAAAGGAGTAGTCTTTTCCAGCCAGGGTGCTGTGGCCATCAGATAGAGCGCTAATGTTTTACTTCTAATTTTGAAGCTTTCGTATACTAGAATCGTAATGCGCTAACATCATCTCAAAATGCAAGCTGCACAAAAATATTCCTGAATATATTTCCTCTCGCCACATTCTGTCCCAAATCAAATTTCAAGTTAACATGGCTTGACAGAAAATGATTACAAGTACAGACTAAACTACTTTCTGCTGAACTTGGAATAAAGATAATGTTTATCTAGATTATAAAAACAATAGCTATAATAATGTTTAGTCAGTGCACACTATGTGCCAGGTATCATTCTAAGCACACAGTAGGCAATGGGCCCACTGCAGGCACTCAAGGAAATGGCAAGACTCCAGTATGGCAGTTATTCGATAACTGTTACATTTTTCTAAAGTACTGATTTTTTTTTTTTTTTTTTTTTTTTTGAGACAGAGCCTCAAGCTTTCCCCCTGGGTAGAGTGCCGTGGCATTACAGCTCACAGCAACCTCCAACTCCTGGGCTCAAGCGAGTCTCCTGCCTCCGCCTCCCAAGTAGCTGGGACCACAGGCGCCCGCCACAACGCCCGGCTATTTTTTGGTTGCAGCCGTCATTGTTGCTTGGCGGGTCCGGGCTGGGGATTCGAACCCGCCACCTTAGGTGTACGTGGCTGGCGCCTTAGCCGGTCGAGCCATAGGCGCCGAGCCTAAAGTACTGATATTTAAACAGGATTAGCCTTACAAAGGGATTCAATGCTGATTTTTTCTGAATAAGCTCCCTAAGATGATTTGATTTAAAATGTTGTGATCTGCATTTACCTAAGACTGCATTATATAATGATACCCGTTTGCACCCTTTTTTCTCTATTGTCATGTTTAATTAACACACAATAATTGTACGTATTTATGTGGGACTGTATATTTTGATACATGTACATAATGCGTTTTGATCAAATCAAGAGTAGTACATCATTACCTCAAACATTTGCCAGTTCTTTGTGTTGGGAACATTCAAAATCTGCTGTTCTAGCTACTTGAAAATATACAATAAAGTGTTGTAATTACAGTCATTCTACAGTGCTACCGACTACTAGAACTTACTCTTCTGTCCAGCTGTAATTTTGTATCTGTTGCCCAATCTCTGGCCATCCTCTCCGTCCCCTCCTCCTTCCCAGCCTCTAGTAATCACTATTCTACTCTCTACTCCTATGATATCAACATCTTTGGTTTCCACATATGACTCAGAAGATGTGGTATTTATCTTTCTGTGTATACCATTTTTAAGCGGGGTTGTACCATGTAGCTTTATTTGAATATGCCTCAGGCAGGCTGTTCTGTTTCTTCAACATAGTTCACCAAAGCTACACAGACTTTGAACCTCTGACCTCGTTGCACAACGAGTCCCAAGACAGAGAAACCGCCCAGCCCTGCCAGCACCAGCCCCCTTACTTGTTAATGTTGCTGCCTTCTTTCAGTCGCTCTCCCGCGGCTCCTGTTTTAGACACTCTCTCGCTACCCGCCAGGTCTACCAGGCTGACCTTACTGACTTTCTCTCCTGAGTTCTAGTTGAAGGAAATAAGACAGAAACAATACACATTAATGCAAAAACCCTCACACTTATCTACATATAGGTCTGCTCTGTGGCTGAGAGAGCAACTGGGTATCCCATCCCTCCCAATCCCAACACAGAAACTTCTCACGATTTTAAATGGCCAGAAGAGTTATATGAACTAGCAATTAATTTCATAGTCAAAGTCTAAGCTGATGTGGAAATGCTGCATTTTGTTTTACAGCTGGGTAACAAGGATATCGGCTTTCTAGAATATAGTTAGAAAGTTGGAGATTTTATGTGCTTAGAAGGAAATATTAGAACATGTGGATTTCTGCGCATTCAGGTCCAATCTCTCTTCTTTGGGGAAGTGTTCTTTGGGCTAAATGTTGTGGTTTCGTTTTTAGTATCACTCCATGACTATGAAGCAGGCTTAGTTGTTTTTGGGTATACAAAGATGCATATTAAAAACTGTCCTGCTTGTTAGGGAGTTTACATGAGAAATCTAGTTTAAAAAAATTATATATAAAAGGAAGACCTAAAAAATTAAATGATTTAGGCAAAGTGGTTCACTTAATAAGAGCCAACATAAAATTCTCAGCCATTGACTCCAACCATGAAACTTGTCACCCACATAGACAATCTGAGATCTTTCACTGTCCCCCAGGACCCTCCCCACCCCCAGGGCCTCCCAGGTGCCCAGTCCTCACCCCAGACTGAAGGTCATACAGCGTCTGGGTGATTATGATGTTGAACACAGCATGGGAGCGGCTGCTTTCTTCATTCATGTTGGTTGCAGCTACTGTCCGAGACTTATTTCCCTCAGACATCAGTGACTCAATGTCCTAGAGCCAAAGCATAAGGAAAACACCATTAGCAGAAACACAAGACAGTCCCCCACACCAGGGGTATGTTATCAATGACGATTCCTCTGGGTCTTGGATCACCACCCTTCCATAAAAACCCGCTGCCGCTCCTCCATCAAGTGTGGTGTGAGCCTCTACCACTCTCCACGTTCTCTAGTATATGAATGGTTTTCTTGCATTCTTTCCCTCTCCCAATTGTCTTTTTTCTTTATTAAGACCCTTTGCTCAGCACCCATAGTTCAAGCAGCTAAGGTGCCAGCCACATACACCAGAACTGGCAGGTTCGATTCCAGCCCGGGCCCGTCAAACAACAAGGACCACTACAACCAAAAAATAGCTGGGCATTATGGCTGGTGCCTGTAATCCCAGCTACTTGGGAGGCTGAGGCAAGAGGATTGCTTAAGCCCAAGAGTTGGAGGTTGCTGTGAGCTATGAGATGACACTCTACCAAGGGTGACAGCTTGAGACTCTTGTCTCAAAAAAAAAATGACCCTATTTTATCCTTTCTAAGTTCCTAAGGTAACTAATATTTGCTAAGCACTGCAGATAGTCAATAACAGCAGTCATCTTCTAACTCTCTCTTGCTAACCAACACACTCCTGCCCGCACACATGCCTTCCTCCTCCAGTGCTGTGGTTCTCCGAGGGTAAGAGATTTCCCTTATTCAGCTTTGTACACTTGCTCCCAGGAACACCTGGCACCATGAACTCTTCTACAATGTCTGCAGAATGAACATTATGGAAGTATTTTCCTGATTTTACACATAAGAATGCTGAAGTTCATGGAGGTCAAATACCTTTCCCCATGTCTAGGAAGAGTTCAGTGAAGCTGGGGTATAAATCAAGTGCTCTCTGCTCTTACTAGTAAGTGTCAACACTGACTTCAACTGCACTGAGCTAAGAACCAGGCAGTTCTGCAATGGTGCTGACTTAGCACCTGCAGAGCAGAAAGGTTTACATTCACTTCAGAATCTAAATGTTTTTAAGGGATGACTATGCACTATTTCTGATCTGAGAAATATTCTATACATCTTCCTTTACACAGTTGGACAGAATAACAACGTCACAGATCAGTTCTAGTATACTAAGACTGAGGTGATAATGGCCAGCCACATTCCACACACAGCACCAGAAAGTACAGGGATTTTTTTTTTTTTTTTTTGAGACAGAGCCTCAAGCTGTCCCCTGGGTACAGTGCTGTGACATCCCAGCTCACAGCAACCTCCAACTCCTGGGCTTAAGCAATTCTCTTGCCTCAGCCTCCCATGTAGCTGGGACTACAGACACCTGCCACAATGCTCAGCTATTTTTTGGTTGGAGTTGTCATTGTTGTTTGGCAGGCCCAGGCTGCCAGCTCTGGTACATGTGCCTCAGCCATATGAGCCACAGGCGCTGAGCTGGATCTTTTGTTTATTTATTCATTCATACTTTTTTTTTTTGAGACAGAGTCTTACTTTGTTGTCGTTAGTACTTGTTGTCTTTCTTTTTAGGTACTTAGTAACTAAGACTGTAATTTCAAGAGAATTTTTTTAAATGACACCTCCCCCAAAATTCTGTTGTCCTTAGTACAACAAAGTAAGTGCTGCGGAGTCACAGCTCTCAGCAACCTCAAACTCTTGAGCTCAAGCTATCCTCTTGCCTCAGCCTCCCAAATAGGACTACAGGCGTCCACTACAACACCCAGCTATTTTTTAGAGACAGGGTTTTGCTGTTGCTCAGGCTGGTCTTGAACTTGTGAGCTCAAGAATCCCATCCACCTTGGTCTCCCAGAGTACTAGGATCATTCACATTCCACAGCAACAAAGATAGTAACTGTGTTGTGAGATTTCCAAAGTAATGATGACAGAAATAAAGGCAGGAAAAGAATCAGACCTTCACAATGCTTTATGTCCTTTTGAATCAAGGAGTTAAGAAAAGGAAAATGGGCCAGTCAACAGAGAGGGGAGAGATTAAAAAAACAAAAACAAAAACCAGAAGAGCCAGAAGAATGAAAGGTAACAGAAACCAAAGCAGGAGACCTTGTCAAAACAAAGGGGTTGAATTAACCTCCAAAGACTGTTTAGACTATCGTATCTGTCTTAGACTCTAGACTTCTAGACTCTAGAAGGACATCACTGGCAACCGTAGGGAGAACAGTTTCTTTCTTTTTTTTTTTTTTTTTGAGACAGAGTCTCAAGCTGTCCCCCTGGGTAGAATACCATGGCATCACAGCTCACAGCAGCCTCCAACTCCTGGGTTCAAGTGAGTCTCCTGCCTCAGGCTCCCAAGTAGCTGGGACCACAGGCACCTGCCATAACACCCGGCTATTTTTGGGTTGCAGCTGTCATTGTTGTTTGATAGGCCAGGGCCAGATTTGAACCTACCACCCTACGTGTATGTGGCTGGCACCTTAGACACTTGAGCCACAGGCGCCAAGCCGGGGAGAACAGTTTCAACAGAGTGGTAGCAGTGAAAATACGTAGCAACCTCAATACATTAGGACTTTCAACCACATACAAAACCTTCACAACAAACCAGCATAAGTATAAGCCCCATCAATCTGTGGAGTGTCCTACTACTGGGATTCTGAGGACATGAATGGTATCAGTATACTGTAAGGCATCCACATAAAAATGTATTCAATATCACTTATATACTGTGGTTTATTACCTTTTTTTTTTTACATTTTAAAAAACTTACCTCAAAACTAGTGACGGCTAATTGAGATAAACCATCTACATATGGTCCCAAAACTTTATGCTCTCGAACTTTAAGAGACTGTCTGCTCCTATGGAAGAGAGGAAAAAGGAATGAATGAAGCAGACCAAACTTGAAAGCCTGTCTTTCTTTTTAGGTACTTAGTAACTAAGATTGTAATTTCAAAAGAATTTTTTTAAATGACACCTCCCCCAAAATTCTAAAGGTTACTTTATTTGGATTAGCAAAACAGCATTCCACACGAGGAATGTCTTTTATACTCTTATATCTATTTAAAGTAACTTGCTATTTTAAAAATCCTATTTCTAGTCCCAAGCTAAACAGAACACAGAACTACATTAGGCTAATTTGTTAGAATAGACGAACTTGTTTCACATGAACACGAGAAAAGGAAAAAGTGAAGCAAAGAATATGCAAGATCATATTTATCCTTAAGGTTATTTCATAAGCACATCTCAGCAAACAATGTCTTAAACTTTTTGAAATAATAGTGAAGAATATTAAAATGCTTTTAACTTTAATTTACTCCTTCAAGTTGCATTGATTTTTGCTGCTTTTATGTGACAATATTATACAGAAAGTAAGATTATTGTATGGTGGGTAAAATTTATTCTATATTTAGCACTGTCTCTGCTGGTGAAGATTTTAAGACTCTTTAGACAGAGCCTCACTCTGGCACTTGGTTAGAGTGCCATGACATCAGCCCAGCTCACAGCAACCTCAAACCCCTTCAAGCCATGCTTTTGCCTTAGCCTTCTGAGTAGCTGGGACTACAGGTGCCTGCCATCACACCACCAGGCTAATTTTTCTTTCTTTCTTTTTTTTTTTTTTT